TATTTCTTCAGAATCCCAGTGTTCGGTGAGGAGCATTTGAGAATCCAGCCCCAGGGGCTGAACCGCTGCTGGACTCCTGGACCTTCTGCTGACTGACAGCCATTGCTGGACTAACTGGACCACAGCCTGTGAGCCACAGGAATAACCTCGTTTCTCTCTATATATAGGTTCGTTCTATGTGCTCTATTCCTCCAGAGCCCTGACTAAAACAACCCTCTACCTTGGTTTTGAAGATAGTCTCTCCCTGAATCTGGATTCCACTAGAGCAACTGGCCAGCGGGCCCCAGAGATCCTCCTGACCCTGCCTACCGAGTTCTGGGGTGAGTGATATGTCATGACTGACTTTTTACATAGTGCTGGGATACAAACCAAGTCTTCAAGCTTGCTTGGCAAGCACTGAACTGGCTGAGCCACCTTTCCAGCCTCCAGTTCTAGGTTTTAATCCTCAAAGCTTAGACTACCTTAGGAAGTGCTGAGCATGTGTTGATACCTGAGAGCCAAATTTAAATTTCTCTCAGGCTGTGGTGCTTTGATTAGGAGTGGCCTACAGGCTCATGGACCTGAGTGTTTGGGCAGTAGGGAGTGATGCTCTGTGACAGGGACTAGCTGGTGTGGCCTTGTTGGAGTGGATGTGGCCTTGTTGGAGTGGGTGTGGCCTTGGTGGAGTGGGTGTGGCCATGGTGGAGGAAGCATGTCACTGGGGGTGAGCTTCGGGATTACCAATGTTCAAGCCAGGCCCAGTGTCTCTCTCTTCCTGCTGCATCTGTATAGAACTCTCAGCTCCTCCTCCAGCACCACGTCTGCCTGCATGCCACCATGCTTCCTGCCATGATGATAATGGACTAAATCTCTGAACCTGTGAGCCAGCCGCAATTACATGCTTTTCTTTTTAAGAGTTGCCATGGTCATGGCATCTCTTCACAGCAATAAGACACTGGCAGGTCAGAAACTGCTGGCTTCTAATAATCCCCACTTGTCACCCACTCTCCTCTCCCATGGGTCTTTCATATTCCTCATTGTCAGTTACACTCTAAAATAACATGCGGCAAGCAAATTTGAGCTGCCTGTCTGATTCCTGTTGTTCTGAAGGGTCATGTCACACAGAAGCTGTGCTCTAGTGACCTCAACCGCAATGTGCACCTCATTCTGCAGGAGCTCTGCTGGCAGCCTGGGCACACAGCCTGAAATGGTGTCAGATAGCCATTCCACCCTGAAGCATTCCACTCTGGAGAGATGCTCCCGGAGACTGGACAAGTTCTGAAAGAAGCTCCTTAAGACTCAGGAAATCTGGAAAGAGGTTTCTTAAGACCCAGGAAGTAAAGAACTCACAAGTCCCAGGAATTCCCTCAAACTGAGCAGATGCACAAAGCCCCTCTTTTCCCTCATGTAGAGAGATGGGGGTGGGGAGACTCAGACTGGCCCGGGGCATGGAGAGACTCGCTGGCATGTTGACCCGCCTGCAGCCCTGCAGAGACCTCTGGGAAAGCAGCTTCCACAGGTTGGCTTCACACTCACGTGGCCTTGAGTGTTGCACCTGCCTCTGAGCCGCCCTGCTCCTGTAAGGAAGCTCTCGCACTATCAACAAACTCACTGGTTTACCAAGTTGGACTTCAGTTGTATGGGTACCTGACCCAGAGTGTCCAGGAACATCGCTGTCCTTGTCACCAGGTGTCCTTCAGTGTCCTGCGTATCATAAGATTCAAACAGAAACCCCCACCTCATCCCCTGCACACCCAGGCCTAGGTCCGTGCCACCCATGGCTGGCAGGAGGAAGCTAGAGACGGGCCGCCTGAGAGGACTAGACTGCCTTCCGCCCTCCGGATGACTCAAAGCTAAACCTGTCAGCATTCTAAAATTAAATCACTTTTATCTCAACGTGCAGCACGGTGATGTATCAGTGAATGCATATAAAGGGGAGAGCAGCCCTCTTTGGAGAGTTTAGAGCAGGCGCTTTGTAAGAGACCCAGAAGAGACTTCTGCGCACTGAGGCGTGACCTCATTCTCCACAAAGCTCTCCCTAAAAGGCGCTCCTGTTAGGAAAGTGTTTGAGAGCGCACAGAAGCCATTAGGAGAGCCCTTGACAAAGCAAAACATCAGTGTGAGCATTAGCTCCTGGCCTCTCCTGCACTGGCCTTGCTGTGGCTGTTGGCTCGGGGCAGGCCGTGCCAACCATGCTTCTGGATGGAGGGGCGCCCATGCTAGGAGCTTCATCTTCATTGCTGGGCTCTCCTGTCATGGGATGAGTGTCCCCAAAGAGCCCGCTAGGTGGAGAAGCGCCACGAGGCTCCATCTGACTCAGGATGTGCTGTTTCCTGACCATGCAGGCCACCACTTCCCAGCCGTGCCGTGCCGCAGGCTGCCTGTCCACATCTGTACGGGACGTAAAAATGTGGCTCCTTTTCTTTCCATCTAACCTCCCTCCCAGTCCATGTCCATGTCAGGGAAGGAAGCAAAGAGAAGCAGCCGAGAGCACCCCAGCCACTCATGTCCCCTGCTCTGGCCTCAGGGAGGGAGACAAAGGACGTTGTTGAAGTGCTCACTGCAAACTACCGTCAACCCAGGGCAGATCAGTCCCAGGAGCCCTAGAAGCTTCTGCTCCATGGAGTCTGCAGAAGGTCGTTTATTCTCATCCGACCCCTCAAGGAGTGGTCCAAAAGAACAGGAGAGGAGGAGAGAACTCAGAGGGTGTGGCCATTCCTCGCCCTCTTGATGGATGTGCAAACACAGGGCTCAAAGTCACCAACTAGTTCTGAACCCACATCTCACCCGAAGAAGACACCTGGCAGTGTCCACAAATAGTCTGGCTGCCGCCGGAGGGAGGAGTGCCAGTCTCCTGCCACCCAGTGAACAGAGGCCGGGAATGCTGCTCAGCACTGAAGCCCCCAAACAACACAATGATGGAGAAAACATCAGCAGTGCCAAGGGGCCAGGTCATGGGGCTCCACCCTGCCAGCACAGAGCTCCGCTTCAGTGGCTCAGGTGGGAAAGTGTTTCTCTCGGAAGCACTGGGGGCCCGAGTTCATCCCCAGAACCCAGAAAAGGCAGGACATGGTGCCACCTGTCTGAAACCCCAAAAGTGGAGTGGTAGCAAGAACAGTTTTCTGGGACCTGCAGGACATCAGTGCAGCCTACTCAGCAAATCCCAGGCTTGTGAGAGAGAGGCCGTGACTCAAATCTACAAGTGGACAGTACTTGAAGAATGACAGCCAGGGTTGTACACACACACACACACACACACACACACACACACACACTTCTCTGCAAATGCTGTCTCTTCTAGTTGGTTGATTTTCATGTATCAGGCGATGAGCTGGTGCCCACAGATGGCTGTGCCTCTGCGTTATTATTTTCGGGGTTTGGTAGGAATGGCAAACAGCAGAGCACGGCCCTAAAACCTCTTGTGCTGCATGAATAAATCATCGGCGCCTCTAAATTTAAACTTAAAGCCAATTAATTCATCAGGACATCACTTGTCACCTAAAGCATTTTAGTATGAAGAAAATACCTTGGAAGAAGAAAGAATCCTCACAGGGAGAGGGGAATGCAGTGAGGATTCTGTCTGCAGGGCAAAAGCCATGGTGGCCTTGCCCTCTCCTCGTCCCCAGAGAGGCCTTGGGAAGGTGTTGGTGGCACAAATGACACGTGTTCCATGTGGCCCCTCCTGGGTCTTAACATAAAGGATGCCAGTGTCAGTCATCACGCCCAAAAGCTGCTCACCAGACCCCAAAGTCACAATCCTCAGCCCAAGCACAGAGCCAGGCACAAACGGAACCATAACATAGACCTATTATGACTTCAGGAGCTAAGAGTTGTCATTTATAGCGCTGTCTTTAGTTATTGGAAAGCAGAGCATGGAGATACAAAATACAGAATATCTATTTTCTAACTGAAGTTAGAAGGATCCTGGGGATCCCTTCCATACCCCCGGGATTGCTGGGCTCTGAAATGTTTGGATTCTTGCTATCCTGAGCTCAGCGGCTCTCAGACCTCAGAACTTCTCTTTGCGCTGGAAAGCCAATCCAGCCAACCATCTTAGCAGAATCCGAGACAGGGGCCCAGGTGCATGAGGAAGCTTTGTGCTGAGTTACATGCAACGTCAAACCAGGGCACTGAATCAAGCACTCAGATCCTGGGAACCTGATTGCAAACAACAAAACGAACGAGCTGACAGCCAAGTCCTTGGACTGGAAGGTGTTAGAAGTAATCCGAGTACAGACATACTTTTTTCTGGTGACTATTGCTAATTTATAAAACAAATGCCTGTTTCTCCCCGAGGACCAATACATTATGCTGTAATTCCAAGCAGTAAAGGTTAAAAGGTCATTCAGAATTATCAAGCTCTTTGTCTTCCTCACAAATGAATGAGTCGTGCTCAGTCCTCAGACCCACTGAGGGAGTGAACTGCCATCTTTTTCCAGTGTCTAACTACACGCGATCCTGGCAATATATCAAACAATGTCTGAGTTTGTGTCGGCGCATCTCTGCCTTCCGAAGGAAACCAAGCAACCGTCAGCCTGTCAGTCCGGCGCATCCCGCGGGCGCTGTCCCCGGGGCCACTGTCCCCCGGCAGCCAAGGTCATGAGTGACAGCTTGGGGTGAGGTCTGGTACCCGCCTCACTTAGGACTCAGACACGACTGGGTTCAAGCCGTCTCCATCACGGGTGTGTGGGAGACACCGTTAAACATCCGGGCCGCGAAGGCCGAGTTCTCCCGAGCTGACGGCGCCGGGATCTGACCAGAAACCCACATAGCCGGTTCTCTAGAGCATTTCTCACTGATGGCCACACAGGCATGCCCTGGGAATCACTGGGCAGAGGACAGGCTGGGGGCAGGGGAGACGCCGCGTTTGAGAAGGGACAGCAGAGAGAACTAACCGAAAGCCTCCTCCCCCAGCGCCTCTTTGGGAAGTTGGCAACCCGCGGGCGGGGGGAGGTGGTGTGGCTCTTCCCGCGCTCCTGCCCGGCGGGAGGCCGGGCGAGCAGGGGCGCCTCGCGTCTTACTTTTGTAGCTGGTCGCCCAGGGCTGGTAGCCGTAGTAGCCCGTGATGCGCAGGATCCGCTCCTCGATGGACGTGAGCCCCGCGGGCCCGCCGGTGAGGTCCTCCACCGAGCGCGACCATTTCAGGTCCTCCTTGATGGCCTCATCCACCACCAGGTACTTGAGCTGACGGAGCTGAGGGCTGATGTCGGACAGTCTCCGCGGGCTGACGTCCGGTGACCTCCTCATGCCACTGGGGCAGCGGGAAGGCGGAGCGCGTCAAGGGCAGAGAGGAGGAGGAGGCGTCAGGGGGGACGGTGGGGACCCGCGGTGCTCCCCTCGCGCGTGCCGCACGCCCTGCCCCCGGGAACCCGGCGTCGGGTCCCGCGCCCTCCCCGAGGCGCCTCGGGCGACGTGGGCTCGGCCGGGAGATGGGGCTGAAACTTGCCCGGCTGAGCCGCGCGCGAGCGTCCCTCCCCCCTCCCTTCCCCCTCCCTCCCGGAGCGCGGGCGTGCGGGGTCGCGGATGCCCGGGGACCCCGCCCGCCGCCCTCCCGCACCGACACTCACACAGCGATGCTCTTGGCCCTGGGAGCGCCGCCGGGAAACTCTCGGATCCCCATGGGCGGCGGCAGCGAGCGGCCCGGGGCGCCCAGGCTGGGGCCGGGGGAGCCGCAGGCGCGAGGGTCGGGACGCGCGCGGCTCAGCCGAGCCCCTCCAAGCGGGTCCCCGGCGCCCGCTGCCGGGAGCCGGCGGCAGAGCAGCGCCGCGCCCTTCGCCCGTCACCGCCGGAGCCCCAGCACGCGCGATCGCGGACGCTGGAGCTCGGGAGAGCGCGCCCGGCAGTGCGCTCCGGAGCCACCCGGGGCGCGAGGCGGCGGCGGCCCCGGCGCGCGTGGACCGGGCGGGGGCGCGCGTTCGGGTCCCCGCTGCCCCGAGTGTGCCTGACTCAGGGCTCCGCGAGCTCTGCAGCCTTAGGGCGCGGGACCTGCCAGGTCCCGGCCTTCTGCTTTCCACACGTGAGTCCCTCCCCACACCCACCCCAAACACAAGCGCCCCCGCTCCACCCCAAAGAGCGGCGCTAGCACGAAAGCAAAAGCAAACTAACCTGGCGTTGACAGCGCACTGAGCGGCGATGGGAGGAGGTGGCTGCTTCCAGGTCCTCAGCTCGAGGCCACCACTGCCCTGGCTCCCTCTGCAGAGACTGTGGTCCCCGGGAAGCTTCCAGCCAGTTTTTTCCTAGGCTGGTCCAGACCACCAAATCGCCCTCCACACCTCTGTTCTTCCCTGAGGGCAAATTCAGAAAACGCACAGATACACAGACAAGAAAACAGCCGTATGGAGCCCCGAAAGGGCTTTGAATTACGGCTAGACTGTGTTCCAATGCTGTTTTGAGTGTAAGATACATTTCCCCCAAGAGATCCAACTGCGAACACTGCTTTATGAATTGCTTTAAGAAAAGATAGATCGTCCATCAGTGAACTAGGAATAGAGGGAAACTCACTTCTTCAACTTGCTAAAAAGAGTTTACCAAAACTTGCTGCAAAAGGGTAAGAAACTCCAGGCTCTTGAGGAGGGGCCCCCACCCTGGCTGCGCCCCCACAGCATCTTACTGGGAGTCCTGGACAAGTCACAGCAGAAGAAGGGAGTGCAACAGCTGCTATTTAGGAAGAAGTAAAGGAAAATGAAACTGTCTTTGCACATGACAGAAGCGCTGGTGTGGAAAGCCTCGGAGAGCTGACCGACCACAGAAGTCTTCGGAATTAATAACTGTGATGTTAATCTTGATTGTCGATTTGATGTGAGTTAGAATTACCATGGAAACAAGCCTTTGGGCAACTCCGTGAGGGGGTTCCCAGGTATGGGCAGAGTCACTGCCTGAGCTGGGTCCTGGGCTGAATAAAAAGGAGAAAGTGAAAAAGAGCAAGCTGAGCTTCACCTCTTCTGCTTCCTGGCTGTGAGTGTCACGTGGCCACCTCCTCTTGCCCCCTCCACAGGGCTTTTTCACGGCGTTGGACTGGGTGTATTTTTAAACTGAGATCCAAAAGAAATCCTTCTTTTTCTTACAGCTGTTTCTGCCGTAGTGGCGTGTGAGTAATGCAGTGACTGGTTTAAAAGGCTGAAAGATTCAAGGTTGAGGTATAAGCTTACCCACTGTCCTAAATGCCTGCGACGGACAGTTGGGATTTGAGATGAAAAGCACCATACTGGTCACAGGACACTGTAAATGCAGATAATGACAAGATTCAAAGGAAGGAATCGCAATTCAAAGCGAACGCACTGTGAGCAGCACGGGGTCTCTGACACTCAGCACATGCTCTTTTCTCAGGAATCTGCCTTCCCTTGGGTTTCTGGGTCAGTGACGGAAGTGACCAGGTGGGGCCCATCTGGGATCCTTGGCTCTTCATTCATCTTTTAATGATTTCAGTGTTGGGACCAGGACAGAGACAGCCAGGCAGCCCAGGATCACCCTGTGTCAGAGTGATTATATTCGCCACCTGAAGGAGTTTATCATTTGTCTTCATGATAAAAACCTTGATGGATGTGCACATCTGAATGAATACAGTTTGTGAGCCAGGCTAGTCAGAACCAGGCTAATCAGTGCACGTATGTTTTCATATATGCATATTCTTTGAGTGTTATAATATGCATATTATGTTTGCTTATGTGTTCGGATAGTAACATGGAAGATAATCCGCTCATGTTTTCACAGCCTTTTATTGCTTTGGTGTGAGTGTTCACCTACATGTATGTGAGCACACCATATGCATGCAGTGTCGGTGGAGGCCAGAAGGGGGCCTCGGGCCCTCCGAGCCGGAGTTACAGACACTCCTCAACTGCCGCGTGGTCGCGGGGTACAAACCGCAGCCCCCAGAGAGCAGCAAGTCCCACTGGCTGTAGAGCTTATTCTTTGCACCAGTAAATAAAACTTCAACTCAAACTTTTAAATATTACTTTACTGAGATATGCTTCTTTTCCAGCATGAGAATGACTTGTCTTTCTGAAAATATCCAGGTACCCCTGAAATATTGAGCATATTTAGGTAGGTGTTCATTTTAACACTGAGCTACGTAAACATTTACTGGGGATAGCACGTGTGCTGGGGTCTGGGGAGGGGACTAGGAATTCCAATGAGACAAACATTTTCTCCCTTCACTGAGCCGGCAGCACAAGAAACAGACAAGTAAGTGGGAACTTGTCACTGGCCCAGGTGACCCAGGTGGCCCAGGTGGGCCTTGACCCTGGAACAGGAGTCTCTGCAAGCCTCTGGATGTAGGCTTGCCCTTCCCTGAGAGGGGAGGAGACAGGGTGTCAGAGGACACTTTCAGGTTAGAAACCAAACTGATGTTGAAAAGTAGGAGTTGCCTGTAGGGCAGAAGGTGGAGGCTGGGGCATACAGAGAGAAGGCAGAGAGGGAGAGGGAGCCTTGGAAGAAGGAAGGAGAGGAGAGCAGTGTGGGAGGCATTAGTGACTGGCAAGCCTGGCTGGGAGCTTGTCTGGAGAGCACCATGGTGTTCCTGTCAACTTCACAAACTCTACTCACCTGGGAGGAGGGGCCCTGGGCAGGCAGGGGGGGGCGGTGTCTGGATCATTAAAATGGGAAGGCTGCACACTGAGAGTGGCCACAGTCCCTGGCTGGGACCCTGAGTGCAGAGATGGAAAGGCTGGAGGTGGGCAGCCATGGTCCATCTCTCTCCTATGGATGGCCTATGACCAATGCTTCAAAATCCAAAATCCATTCCATGGTGGGCTCTTGGTTTCCTCTTAAGTCACTTTTGTCAGAGTATTTCATCACAGCAACTGGAAAAGGAACAACAACATAAAAATGAGGACACAGTGTTAAGGGGAAGAATCTTAGGCAGGGTGAACTAGCCACACCCTTCTTTTGTGAACAAGCCAAATCCTCACTTCCAAGAACCCTCGCTGGTCTCTTCCTCACTCCTTATGCAGAGCAAAGGCCAAAAGGCCCCTCTTCGGAGGAAAACTTTAAAACCTTAGCCCTGCCCTGCCCACCCTCTGCCCACCTCTCACCCTGAAGCTTTCTCCATCCCTCTATCCTACCTAACTCTCAAAGCCTGTGGACTCAGGGTCCAGGACTGAACTGAATGCTCAATGCCAGGCCATCTTTGCCTGGAAGGCCGCTGCACAGCTGACCTCTGTGACCCTGTGATACCCTCACCCACCTCATATCTACTCTGATTCCCTCCACCTCCCTCCCTCTCTTCCCTCTCCCTCCCTCCTTCCCCCTCCTCCCTCTCTTCCTTTCCTTCCTTCTCCCTCCCTCCCTCTTTTTCTCCCTCTTCCCTCCCTTCTCCCTCCCTCCTCCTTTCCTCTCTCCTCCCTTTCTCCCCCTCTCCGCCCTCCCTCCAGGAGGCCTTCCCTGGCCCCGATGGAGCGGAGTTTATTCCAACACAATCCTTTACTCTGCAGTGGCCTTTATAACCTTGCTGGTGTTTTGTGGCATGTTAATTCACAGGCTCATGTGATGAACGTCTGTCTCCTCCACTCAGCTGAAAATTCTATGAGGCCAAGATTGTTCTGCCTTCTTCATGGCCCTGCATCTATCACAGCGCCTGTGTAGGCACTGCTCACAAAAACATTTTTTAGATAAATGAGCAGAGGGAAAAGCAGAATGAAACCATCTGAACAGTGAGGTGTGTGAGGGACGAAGGGACGCGGTTTGCAGAATTGCTTAGACCCCTTCTGTGCCGCTCAGTTCTCATTTCTAGGCTAATGCTAGACTCACCTCCAGAAGCTGGCAGACAGAGACTCCTGACTTCCTCACAGCTCATCTCCTTGGGGACTCTTGCTTCAGCCTTCCTCCAAACATCGCTTTTCTGTGGGCACAGCAACAAAATGCCCTGTTTCCCCAGTCAGCCCTGACTACAAACCTTGTTCTCCATCTTTCTCAAAGTAGCACAGCATTAACGGTGGACGGTGGCCTCAGTGTTGACACAAAAACAAGCTGCTGGGACGTGTGTCTCGGGGACCCTGAAGGGAGTTTTGCAGGTTTGATGGGTGAGTGGGCTGAGGGCTGAGAAACCGATACATACATACACACATACATACATACACACGTACGTACACACATACATACATACACACACATACACATACATACACACATACATACGTACACACATACACACACAAACATACATTCACACATATATACATACACACATATACATACATACTTACACACACATACATACATATGTACCTGATGTACAGGTGGATGACAGAGTCTCACACGTGATGCTTTTTCTCTACGTCTCCCACTAAGCGGCAGCCTCCCTGGGGACCCGGGCCCTTGTTTCTTTTCTGGCTAACTCATGCAGTCCTAAGCACTAAGGGAGTTCTGTCGGCGGCTTCGGCAGTGCCACGGGGCAAGCTGTGCGTGTCTGACGCCCATCAACGTGCGCTAGGGAAGAAGGTCTTATTCAGAGCATGCCAGTGTTTGACGAGACCTGCCACAGTGCTATCCTCAGCTGATCAGAGCATGACGAAGCCACAGGAACATGTGGGCTGGGGCAGCAGCCCCGACACAGCATCACCGGCAAGTGCCAAGCCAGAGAGAGCCTGCCTCAAAACGAAAAGGGAGGCAGGTAAGGGAAGATTT